TCTTATTATTTCCTTGGCAGTTTTCTTTCTTTGACACACATACACACACACACACACACACACACACACACACACACAGGCACACACATTCTACCAGAAAGCTCTAAAATTTTGCAATGTGTTAGACTTTCAAAGTTTTAGACTTTCAAATGAAAAACATCAAATCGGAGGTGGAGAAGTTGGGGAGGGAACAGAAGAAATTTGTCCTGTGCCTCTGTGGGGGCTGGGGGGCGGGGGCGACAGTGAAATTCCAACCAGCCAGTTATGCTACTGCTACAAAAGGAAGAGAGTTCAGTTTCATAGATTCAATTGTACCTTACCTGGTTTTGTAGTTAAATGCACCAACATGCCCCTAATTCTTCTGCCGAAGTACTACATATGCTGAGAGCTATAGTATTTGACCTTACACATTTCCACAGAAGAAACTCCAAAGTAACCTTTAACTTCAATAAAAAGCTGTGTTCATTCTCCCCCTGTGCTCAACACACAGCAATCTAATACACCTCATCATGTGGTCCGTTACCATGGCAGCAATGAATCCAGCTGCTGAAATACAAAAGACTGACAAAAAGTTGCTTTTTCCCCCTCCACCCACCCTGACAAAGTCATATTTTTTTTTTCTGTATGACAGTCTAATTTGAATGTTTCTCTTGCTGACTCAACTCCATGAACAAGGAAAAAAAAAACAAAACAAGAAAAATGAATAACAGAGGTATAAGAATAAAAGGTTTTCAAAAGTATTTAAACTAACTAATGAAATAACAACATGCATTTTTAAATCACCACTAATCTCTTGAAATACTGATCATTATCTCCTACTTCTGCCAACTAAATATTTTCAAATGCTGGTCATTAATTCAGTAGCAAATAATCCCACAGCTCCTTTAGGAACATTAAAAAATATTCAGTAAACACAAAAGCTCAAAACACTACATCAGTAGACAAAGTTGTTGTTTTTTTTTTTCCTTAGAGCAAACTTTACTCACGGCTTAGAAGAAGGAGGAAAAATCTTCATTTTCTTTTTATTAAAGTCTTGTGTTTAACCATTACTTAAATTAATTTCAATTCTACTTCAATTTTAGAGGATAAATTTGGAACTATGGTGATACACCTTGCTAGAATTAGCCAAACTATATTTGGGAAGTTATATTAAGATCAGGGTCTTAAAGTTGGGTCAATATCAACTGTGGTCACTTCTGGGAACCCCCAAACCAATGGCTGTGGAGTAGGAGAAAAGGAGTCCTGGTCCTTTAAGGAGGGACTGACAGAGCCCCGGAAGCCTGGAGCTTTCCTTCAGCTCAACACTGCCCTTCCTCCCCACCAGCACACCTGCACCAGCTGGGGCTCCAGGCAACTTGGTCCCTCAGGCCTGGCCTTGTTACTCAGCTTTGTTTACCTCCCAAATTTAGGTATTATTTTGCAATGATTTGTTGATGGATCTATCTTCTCTTTTTGGTCAGGGGCTCTCTGAGGAAGAGGAACCTTGTCTTATTCATGTTTCTGCACCAAGAAATTAGGGAGAGATGGCATCAGGATGCAGGGCCACTTCTCCAATAAAGAAAAGCCATTCACCCCCTGCCGTGCACTGGAGGAAAGCTGCCTCTTGCGGTGCTGTTCACAGCATTCCTTGCTGCCTTTAAAGTCTTAGAGCCTTGCTGCAGCCTTTTCCTTCACCCATAGTCTTACCAGGAGGCTGGAGAGGGGAGCTCCAGGGGCAGCCATGGACTCAAGCATTCGCAGGTTTGAAACCCGGCTCCCATACACACCACTTTTGTGATTATGGGTAGATTATTTACCCTTTCTAAACCTCTACTTACTCCCCTGTAAAATCTTTAAAGTTATGAAAAAGGAGGCATCATGCACTGAGCTTGAAATGTAGTAACTTTTCAATAAATTCCTGACAGTATTTTTTAGTAAATATATTTGTGACTTTTGAACAAGAGGGACAATGAAGAAGCCAACCGGTACTTGACTTCCCCTTGTTGATATAACTCATTTTTAACCAGATACATATTATTAGTCTCAAGTTTCATAATATGGGCTTGGATAATAACACAGTATAAATACAGTGGCCATTTTAGGCAAGTAGCTAAGGCAGCTTGCCACCACCCACAAACAATCATCAGTTACACATATTTCCAGTGCAAAATGGACCATTAGAAGAATATCGAATTTCGAAGTAAAGTGAGTGTGGTGGCTCATGCCTGTAATCCCAGTAATGCAGGAGGCTTAAGCAGGAGGATTGCAAGTTTGAGTTCAGCCTCAACAACTTAGCAAGGACCTAAGTAACTTAGCGAGACCTTGTCTCAAAATAAAATATAAAAAGACTGGGGATATGACTCAGGGATGTGATGGAGCATTCTTGAATTCAGTCCCTGATACTAATATATATATATATATATATATAAAATACAAAAACAAAACTTTGGGAATATATTTTTTCAATCTATAAATATGAAAAAAAATTAAGTAGTTCACTGCAGGAAACATATTGGATTCTCAAAAATGATCATATGATTTATTAGTATTGTTTCAAATTAAAATGAAGTATTAAGGGATATTCACCATAAAGGATTTCAGAATAGAAATTATGTATATATAGATTGAATCATTTATTTACTTATTTATTTTTTAGTCAGTTGTAAATGGACAAAATACCTTTATTTTGTTTATTTAGTTTTATGTGGTGCTGAGGATCCAACCCAGTGCTTCACAGGTGCGAGGCAAGCGCTTTACCATGGAGCCACAGTCCCAGTCCCTAGATTGCATTTTTAATAATGTACTGATATTTGATTAACAGGAGCGTTTTTAAGGGTCACCTTGATCTATAACAACTACTGTGAATTACTCAGCAAGATAAACTTTCAGCTGCTTTTCTCCACAGTCATCTAAGTCAGGAAATTACCTGACACCAAAGCCAATTGCATGGGAAAATGAGCATCAAAATCCCTTTGAAGACTACAGTGCAAAACAGCAGCCTGGGGTTAAAATATCCCGTGACAGGAAAAAAAAAAAAAAAAAAACAACTTTCTTGCAGGAAGTTACCAGAAAGAATGTTGTGCATTGCAAGGTTTCTCTATCATGAAAAACAGAAAGAAAGAAAAGCCCTACAACAAATCTGTTGAGATTATGAAAATAGCTTGGGCAACTGCTACAAACCTGAAAAAAACCTCAAGTGTTATGACTCCCGAGGACACAGTCCTGTAAAACGTATGAGAAAGAACAGGCAAAAAAAGACAAGGAACAGCCACGCTGGAAAACCAACATCCACTAATCCTCTTTAGAGCAGTTGATGAAGGCAAGACCAATAGACCCACATGTGAATAATTCATAATGATTCTCATGTGTGGCTCCCTGAACAGAGACTCTTCTTTGGAACCGTCTGTGTACCTTTTTGCTCCTATGGTCGGGTGCCCATTACATGGATCTAATTATTTTTTATTTTATAAACGTAGAGCTTGTCCTTTATCTAGTTAATGCATATGCCTACTAGAACATTTAATATGATCAGCCAACATGAGGAGCATCATTTGTCAGATGTTAAATCAACTTGTTTGATTTTCTCTTTTTAAATATTATGGAATATGACATCAGTGTATTAGGGTTGTTGAAAATTTGAAATTCCTTTTTGTGAATGTTAAGATTAATTTCTCTCTCTGTGTGAGCTGAATTTGTAATATAATCTGTGCTGGTGTGACCCACTTAATTACATGTGAAGAATCCAATCACCTGGGGAGAGAAAGTTTTTGCAACATAGGTGATAATTTGGAATATACCCCAGGAAGTTGATTTGCCAAGCCCTGGTCTCACAGAGGCAGGAGGGAGCTTAAGAGGTTATTTGCTTCACTGCTTTCTCTTCTGATGTGAGAACATATAATTTATCACAAACTCAAGGTACTAATATGGGCTCAGAGGTCACTGGTTTGAATTACGCAGCAGGGCTACAAAAAATACTGGCTGCCAATATTAGTGAAACTAAAACAAGAGAAAACGATTTGAGCCTCTGCAAATGCCATTTTTCAGGTCACATTTTAAGACTATTCTTTATTTCTGAATACCACAAAGAGCTTTGTTATTTGTGTGCTGGTTTATATTGAATAAAGAACCATGTTAACAGCAATGAAAACAGATTGTAATCTACTGAACAATTTTTGCAAGCACATAGTTTCTTGAGCCACTTTGAGCAACTGACCTAAAGAAATATTAATCAGATTAGTATCTCTTCTATTCATGACAATTTCTTATGAAAGAACAAGGCTGTTGCTAGCCATCTCAACTTATATCAATAGCCAGATATTCTATTTTATCCTTAGGATGTTTTCAAAATATACATGCCTCTCCTCTGAATCGTCTCAATGGAGCTATAAATAATAAGGCTCTTTTATGCTCTCCTAGTGTGGAAATATCATATAAAATATCTATTTTTAAATAACATTTGTGAAATTGAGGGTTATATATTTTATAGACAACCTAACATGAACCCATGATTTTCACCTTACTCATTTATGGAAATTGATTCCTAAACTTGTTTTTGCACTTTTCATTTCTTTAAATTTCACAGCTGTATAGTTATTTCTGGATTTATCCTTAGTAAAAAAAATTCTTGGTTTTTAAACTTAATTATATAAGTACATTATACTTCTTTGTCCATCTTCTCACTACTAGATAGTATCATGTGTCCAAAATATAGAAAATATTGTTGAAATAACATTAAAGGCTCTCATAATTCAATCATCAAAGGTAATCAATATTAACATTTTTATGTATTGATTTAATTAAACACAAATAATTTTAAGATTGTCTTCTTTACTTAATGAAAGACATGTAAAATAAGCACCCTCTAGTATTTTACACTCTTTGAGAAACTTTAATAATGGCCTCGAGCTCTGTTATTTGGATGTGTTAGAATTTATTTGGCTATATCTTATTGTTAAATGAATACTTAGCCTTTTCCAGATTTCTTTGAATGATGTACTTTTGTATATAGATTTTTGGTTGTATCTAAGGTCATTTAGTTAAATGGGGATAGGGAAGATTATTAAATTTACAGTAGGTAAATCCAAGCACAGAATTTTAGAATTGGCAGGATTAGCAGGATCATACCATCATTTAGTCTAATACCCATTTTACTGATTTTATTGATGAGAAAAGTGAGGCTCCAGGAAGTAAAAAAGTTTCTTCCAAGTCCCATCACGAATTGTTCTAGCACTAGCACAGAAACAGCATTCCTTGAGAGTCAGCTTTGCATTTCGTACTTCTGCCATGTTGACTCTAAATGACAATTCACTCCTGAAGGGCTCCCTCCCAGTTCCACCTTGGTGTTGTGGTGTCATCTGTGAAACTCTCCCAATGTGCTCAGGAGAGACAGTCCACATGGCAGCATCTCTTGCACTACCTTCTACTGATAGCAAAACAGAATAAATATTGAGAAACAAAGACTCAGACAAAAATTTGTTCTATGAAGAACAAAACAGAAAGTTCCTGGAAGTGTTGAGGGATCAGGGGCCTCTTAAACTTGGTGAACTCAAACTGATGTAAAATCATCAGAGCTGTTATGGCCTCTAAGTTCTTTTCATGGCCTTCCAGTCAGTGGGAGAGCAGCAGATCTGTGATTTGAGTGGCAGGCTGTCAGCCAACTTCAACAAGAACAAGCCTGATCACCTGCAACAATGTCCCAGCCTGTAAATACAGGTGTGTTTGCAGGACTTATGATGTCCCCCTTTGACAGGATATTCTTTCTCAGCTAGAGAGAAAAGAGAGTCTACCTAAAAGTCAAGGAGATAGGCAGATTCCTGAGACTTCATTCTTAAAATGATTCATTTTCTTATTCTGAATACACAGTACTAGAGATTATTATTTCCTGGTTTATTCAGTGTGTTTTATTCTGAAATGAGATGACTTATTCTAATTCAATAGATTTTAATTAAGCGTCTTCTAAGAAGCACTCACAATGCTAGATGGAGTCAGAGAAATATAATGGCATGCAATCTAGATGGGGAGGTAAGAATGTGGATATAGAAAGTACAATTACAGATACAACAATATATGAGAAGGAATATGATCAACCTACTTGAGAGTGGATAGATAATTGAATTACGTCAGTTGAAGTAGAACATTTAGGGTAGAAGAATCACCCATTTGGTGCCCCCCAGTTTTGGAAAGCATTTATTGTTGGGATCTTGGGCATGTTTCCCCTGACTCTTTCACTTTCTGCTCAGACTTTGAATACAACATCACAGCACCCATTCTAAGCTTTGAGCTGATGAACCCTAACAGCAGATTGGGTGACCGAAATTAGATGTAGGCGTAATAAAAACTACTGAGTTTCTCCTTGCCTCAGTTATAGTACCCTGGGAAAGGACAAGTCATTTAGTATTTGGTGGCAAGGGGAAGATGAACTGTAACTTCCTATCAAGTTGGGGAGAGAGAGAGAGAGAGAGAGAGAGAGAGAGAGAGAGAGAGAGAGAGAGAGAGAGAAAACAGGGGTGGGTGGGGTCTGGAGAGAACATATATATCTACATCAGAGACAATGATATAGATGAGACAGGAAGTAATGAAGGTTATGCACCTGTAGGCACTCAGTAAAAGTTAATTATTGGTGGCAACTATGATAAAATTACAGGGCTGTAGGAAATGAAGCAAGTTAGAAAAAAAATTAAGGTAATTTTACAGATGAATAAATTATGGAAAAAGATTAAAAATAGTTTGAAAAAGGTATAAACTGATTGGGGGAAAGGAAA